GCTTGACAGCAACCCCTTGGGGTGATTCCATTCTAGCTTCGGTACATTTTCGTCCCAACTTCTAACCTTTACATCTTCTTCGTTTCTTACCCGTTTTCTATGTTCCTTATATCCACGCGAAGGTGAGAACGTACTTTACACTTCTGTTAAGTCATATCTCACTGAATTATTACGAGTCTTAATCTATTAAGTCACAAACTTGGCCCAAAAACATAAAAAATACAAATTTTATCTTTTTGGCCAAAATGCATATTCTCATGCATTCTTTCTCTTAAACCTACTCATCAAATCTCAAATTAGAGACTTAAACTCTTTTTGGCCATCTTCATGAAGTCACGACTTTATAATACCATCACTTTCTCATAATTAACCATTTTGCCATTTTGGTCAATATTTAATTAAAAGTCAACTTTCTCTAAATTTCAGGTTCTTACACATTCCGTGCTACTGATACATACAATATTATAGCATGGAGAAATAAAATTAGTTTCTTATACCTTTTTCGTGATTGAAAGACAGAGTGTGAGGAGAGCATAAAGAAGAAAGTGGACGATAAGCAACATCATGGCGCCGCTTCCGATCATCAACACCAACAAGTAGACCACAAACAATAGGACGATGTCGTTTTTTTTATCATCATAATTAACCTCAACCTTCACCCCTGTTAACGATTTCACCATCATCTATGGCCTCGATAAGGTTCCCGTTCTTCGTAATCATTTTTGCTATCAATTCACACTAATTCTTGAGACTTGAGAAGAACAGTGGACTATATGTATAGGTAGAAGATAAATTAGGGTTTTAAATGCAAAATTCTTCTTGAGAAGAACATGAAAAAAGATCAAAATAATCATAATTTTGACTTTTAAGTTTGACTATGTACATGTGGCATCTTCTACCCAGGGGCGGAACCAATTGGTTGGTAGGGGTAGCCCGTGCTACCCCTCAGTTTTTTCCGAGATCGAATGTTAATCGCTTGCAAATCGAATGTGCCCCAAATTAATACTATATGAGAAAAGGCCGATGAGTTGTGCTACTCCTTACTGAGAGATGAAGATGAAGGTAAAGCTAGTTTCTAGAATTTCAAATCGAAGGTAATCCTATTATCCTAATTTCTTCAATTTCAAATTGAAGAAAATATTCCTGATTTGATTCGATTGTTATAGGGTTTTTGATTTCTCCCATATCAAATCGAAGGTAATATTGATTTATCCAATTAGGCCTTCTTTTTCAATTTAAGATGTATCATATGATAGTGGATATGCCTTGTTTTATGTGCCCCTACAAATCGATCACGAAAGCCATACATTTATGTTGTTTGGTTTGTGTTCCTTTTAGAGGGTAATGAATTCAATTTCAAAGATTTTTCATATCTTCATCCGAATGGCATCATTGCTCCATTTTTCTGGAAACTGTGAATATAATCCTTTTTTGCTTAGTTGATTTTCAATATTTTATAGTTCCTACACATAATGTTTACATTGTTTTCATTTGGTTTATTTGTTGTTGTATTTATTTTGTCACTGTTACATCTATAATCATTTGGTAAGAGCAGGGGTATCCTCAATGAAAAAATAAAAAATTGTTTAGCAAGGGTAGGTTAGTCCAATGTTCATAACTGAAGTATATATTACAACTCCCAAGAACTAAAACAAATTATGATTATAAATGCCTTTAGTATAAACAAATTCATTACCCTATTTTGTATATATTGATGATCAGTTGCAAATTTGTTGTCCTTACTTGATATTTGATTTATATCGATGATTAAGTGATTACTTGGCTCTTTCCTTTTTTACATTTGATTGGAAATTAGAAACTTATGGATCAAAGACTAGATGGGGTGCAGGTGAGTTGAAATCAGGCTTCCGAAAATTTAATGAAATTAAACATTTTCTTCCTTTGTTCAAACAATTGTTTCATAAATGCACTGTGTTTTTATTTATATTATCTACTTACATTTTTTTATTGATAATATAATAGTAAATATGTAACAAATATAGTACATTACCTATATTGATATCGAAATAGAAGTAAAAGGCTTAAGTGCTTTGTTAGTATGGGTAAAAACAAAGCACAATGCCATTATCGATGAAGAAAAAAATGTGCTACCCCTTACGAGAATTTCTAGTTCCGCCCCTGCTTCTACCGATTGATTTAGGTAACAAGGACTAAAACGACATGTTACTTTCCCACCTTATGTCCCCATAAAAGAACACAAATAAGTTAAAGGACTGAATTGACAAATTCGAAATACTTTGTTGGGTTGATGTGTTCTTTTCCTATATTTATAGGGTGTTTGAGATTTCATTTTGAATAAGGTGTTTGATATTTCATTTTGAACTTCAAAAAGACTTTTAGGCAAATAGGCTTATTAACTTATGGTGGTGAGAAAATGAGTTTTTTAAAAAGTGTTTGGATTAGCTTTTGTGATGATAAAAGTCAATAAGTTAGTAAGTTGTTTTGAAAAAGTGTTTGTCTTAGCTTATACATGTTTTAATTGGTATTTGTCTTTTACAACCCAAAAAGTTATAAAGAGTTTTGAAAAGTTAGAAATCCTAACTTATTGAAATCTCATTTTTAAAAGGTTGACGAGAAGTTATTTTAAAGTCATTTTCATATTTCCAAACAATTACTTTTGACTTGTTGACTTTTCAAAAAGTCAATAAATCAATAAGTTGTTTTTTTAATAAAATTCCAAACATCCTTTTACTTTGAAAAATAAAAGAAAGGACAAATATGACTCATCTTACCTATCACTTTTTAAAAGTTAATTAGTAATCAAAATAATTAGGGCTGTAAACGAACCAAACGAACACAAACAGGGTTTGTTCATGTTCGTTCGTTTAAATTAACCGAATATGAGCGGTTAAACGAACGAGTTTTATTGTTCATGTTCATTCGTTTAACAAATTATATTGTTCATGTTCGTTCGTGTATGTTCGTGAATATGCTAAACGAACATAAACAAACAAAGATAAACAAACATATATGAACATAAATGAACATATAATATAGTAATGAAATCAAACACAATTAAACATATATGAAAATAAACGGAACTTATATGAACGAACATAAACAAACGTAAACAAACAACATAAACGAACGTTCACGAACATAATTGAACGAACGAGACCATTGTTCATTTTCGTTCGTTTAACTAAACGAATAAGAATTTGTGTTCATGTTCGTTCATTTTTTAAATAAACGAATATAAACGAACTTACCGCCAAACACTTCATGAATAGTTTGTTAAAACAATCATGATTTTGCCGATAAAATTTACGAAAATCCTCATTGGTTATTTCATAGATGGCCCAACCCATTTAGATTTTAGCATATGTTATTTGTAAAAATAATGGTCCTACAAAATAGATGTATAGAAGTCTCTTTTCGTCTTTTTCCTTCAGTTTTAAAAAAAAAAAAAAAATCCTTCAATTCTTATAACATGCCTCTCAAACACATACCTTTTCCTTTAGTTTATTAAAAAAAAAAAACTAAAGATTCTCACTCAAATACCGATCACATTATAAAAATCACATTTTAAGGTATTGAAAGTATATTTTATAAGTTTATTGTTTTGCTTTAGATTTTAATATATTTGAAAGATACACGTTATTGTTCATTTTTTAATCTTTTGAGTCTTTAACTAATAACTACCTACCTAAGACATGTGCTATCAGTTAATACAACATTTCAAAACTCTTCTTCGAATTCCAGACAAGATCTATGTGTTCCGAACTAACGTTTTTGTAATTATGGTTAAAAATTTAACAAGTAAAGGATTGAATAACTCATCCGTAAAACCTCCAACTCAAAAGAAACATTTTTATAGCCTAATTTGTCCGAAATATAAAGATATTTCAATATACATTCCAAAATGATTTATGTATCGGTCATTAAGTCTGAAATCCGATACCAAGTAAGCTGAGTCGCTCCAATCCTAAATACTATGTTCCGAAATATGTTGCTATTTAAAAGAATATAGTTAGGTGCTGTTTGTTTTTTGGAAAAAACTTCTTCCGACCTCTTATTGCTACGTGGCGCAGCACACACACAACACTTTTCATATCGCAACTGTTTGTTTTTTAGAAGTTTTCGAAGTAAAAACCTCTGCGCGTGTTTGTTTGGCGCAACACTTGTATTGCCTCTTCCAACCTTTTTTTTCATGTTGCTGAAATCTTATTTCACTTTTTTTGCTAAAATATTTTTATTTTTTGTTGAATTATCATTATTTTTGCTGAAATATCATAAATTCTTTACTAAAATGTCATACATTATTAAATTCTTGGTATTAAAAAACTATTTTTAGTTTATAAAATCAGTTCATTTTAATTTTTTAATATCTGCAGCAATATGCAGATGTTAAAAAAACAAACACGCTTCTTATTACAGTCTGCAGCCGTTGGTCCACCTCTTCTACTGCAGAGGGTTGCAGAGATGGTCCGCAGACTTCATGAATTTTACTTCAGAAAAACAACACCTTTTTAAACAAAACACCTCAACATTTGGTTAAATTACACATTTGTAAATTTTAGGGCTTTTATTTAGGTGCTGATTGTTTTTTTGAAACCAAAATGTCTGCAGTCTGCGGACCACATCTGTCTCTGTTGCAGAAGAGGTGGACCAAATGTCTGCAATCTGCAATAAAAAGACTGTTTGTTTTTAACGTCTGCAGCTGTTGAAATAAATTGGTTTTTCAAACTTAATTTTATGTCATAAACATTAAAAATACATTTTTAGCAAAAAAAAGAATGAAAAAAAAAACAGCACGGTGGTCTATGTTTTTTTTTGTTTAGGTTAAAATGAGGTCTGAAAACCTTTGAAAAGAGTGACCCATGTCTGCGTCAGGAACACCTCGTGCGGACGTTTTTTAATCTGCGCACTTCCTAAAAAACAAACACTAAGACATATGTCTTTGACTTGTCTGCTCGACCGCATGGACGCAGACAAAAATAGTTGAGTAGATGTTCAAATAAAAAAAAACAAACAGCCCTGGTTATCAGCCCTTAAAACCCCAAAAGTTGATGGGTTCTAATTTTTGCCTTTACTCAATAAATTATTACACTTGTTTCTTTCTTCTTTATCACAGCTTCTACTTTCAGTTTTCTCCTAACTCGTAAGCGTAAAAGTTGGGAGGAATCCGACGGAAATTTACCAACTGGTTTTCACGGTTTCAGATAAACCTGTGTATCAAATCGACCAATTCCCCTTTTTCTGTTGCCCTAATTCCACAATTGTCCTCTGCAGGTACTGCTGTTGTTCTTCATCTGTAATCTATCTCATGATTCATCTCCTTTAAACAATCCCACATAATAGAATTAGTGATCGTTTATTGCAGGTGTGATATACTGTAATCATGCCGGACACACATGCCCTAGTTAACGATTTCTTAAACAAGCTTAAAAAACGGTGAGTGCGAGTTATGTGGGTTTTCATTCGTTTCTGATTCACTGTTTTTTCTTTTGTATCAAATGTGATTTACATATATGCATGTTTATATGGCGAGGCAGTAAAATCGAGGGTTCAAAGACCACTGCGAAGATGACAGCAGAGCTTCTTCGTTCCGTGATATCACAGCAGAGAATTCCTAACACGAATCAAGCTGGGGCTCTTATTCAGGCCATTAATGCTATCGGAGAACAGCTTGTTTCTGCAAATCCCGTGGGTTAGTTCTTTTTTCCTTCTTATGGCCATTGAAAGAGACTGATGATTGTTAATGTTGTGTTGGTATATATATGTTATTGAAGCCATATCATCTTTAAAATTCTGTATGAATTGCAGAACTTGCTGTTGGTAATATTGTAAGGCGTGTACTACATATCATTAGGGAGGAAGATCTTTCACTCACAACAGCTTCCATTGGTGGATTGAGCTTACAAGCTTTGAGTGATGATGAAGACAATGTTGACAGAGATGATCGACCTGTTCTATCAGCTGCTGCTGTTGCTGCTGCAGCTAGAAGCACTCTCAGAGCTCCTTCCTTGCAGACCCTTCTTGAAGATGTTCCTCACTCTGCAGCTATTCATCAATCTTCCTCTTCTGCTGGTGATTCTGAAGAAAAAACCAAATGTTAGCTCTTAAAATTCTCCAAAATACATAAACCCTCATTCCTTTCACTTTTCCCAGTAATACTTGTTATTTTCTGCAGCTACCGATAAAAATTCAAGGAGCCGAAAGCTCAAGCATAATGTGATTGAGACTGTGAATGATCTTATTCAAGATATTGCCACCTGTCATGAACTGATAGCAGAGCAAGCAGTGGAGCATATTCACCATAAGTATTCTTTTTTCTTTCACTATTATTTCTATTAACTTTTCAATGTTTAATTTTTTTAAATTATATGCAGTGAGGTTATATTAACCTTAGGCAGTTCAGGAACTGTAATCGAATTTCTTTGTGCTGCTAAGGAGAAAAAAAGAAACTTTCGTGTTTTTGTAGCAGAAGGTGCTCCAAGGTTTGTGTGTGACACTATTTCCTTCTAAAACCTTAAAAACCTTAAAAACATCAAATATTTATTTATGTTTTTGTTTCATAAAGATATCAAGGGCACACTCTTGCAAAGGAACTCGTTGCTAGGGGACTACAAACAACTGTAATCACTGATTCTGCTGTTTTTGCCATGATTTCGCGTGTGAACATGGTATGTCATAAGTTAATTGCAATTTTTGATGTTTGTGTGTGTGTATTGGTGTGTGTTTGAGTGTGATTTTGGAATGATGATTAGGTTATTGTTGGGGCCCATGCTGTGATGGCAAATGGTGGAGTGATAGCTCCTGTTGGGTTAAATATGGTTGCATTAGCAGCTCAAAGACACGCTGTTCCTTTTGTTGTTCTTGCAGGCATTCACAAGGTAAAACATTTCATAACATTTTTCCAATTCTTTTTTTTTTTTTTAAATTCACCACATAATTCGTGTAATTGCATTTACAATTGGGATTTGAAAAGGTTTTTTGAGCCTTTTGATACCTTGTACATGTAGAGATCCCTTTATTCATATCCAAGATCAAAACTTGTGAAAGATGATTGCAATCTAATACTCTACTTGTTATAAAAGAGTAAATTTACAAAATGGCCCCTATGTTTTATGATTTCTACTGTGTTTAGTCCAAAGTTGAAACCTTCATATCAGCTTTTGGTCCCTAGAATCTTGAAATAAGGACCAAAATCGATATGGTAACCTTGAAATAAGGATCAGAACTGAAAGTTTCAATTTTGGACTAAACAAAGTAAAAATCGGAAAGCACAGGGACCATTTTTGTAAAATTACTCTTAAACTTTGTTATCCAAAAACAAACCCTAACTGTGAAATAAATTTTTTCGACTATTTGAAAATACATATATGGTATATATTGCAAATGACATGAAATTTGTTTACATTTATTTGACTAAAGTTTAATTTTTTTTATAAAGATAATTTTTTTTTTCCTCTACTTATCAAGTCAATTTCATTTTCTTTTCTTGATTCAATATCTGAAGGCACACTTGTTTATTTTTATATTTATTTTTTATATCACCTTATGCTCAACATCTTTTTCTTACTTTCCTTATAATAAAATTACAGAACCAATCCATTGTTTTTAATTTTGGAAAATGACAGTTGTGCCCCTTGTATCCTCACAACCCGGAGGTGTTATTGAATGAGCTAAAGTCTCCATCTGAGTTACTAGATTTTTGGGCAGTTCTCAGATTGCATTGATTATGGCACTGGCACCGGTTCCCCTCTTCTTCATGTTGTAAATCCTGCTTTTGATTACGTACCGCCAAACCTCGTCAGCCTATTTATTACCGACACGTAAGTTCAAGGGTATTTCCGTCATTTCCGAAAAAAACTAAAGTAAAATTAGCCCCCGTAAGACCCTAAAAAACGTAGGACATGACATAACAGACTGTACTGCGTTTGACTAGACGGGACCACACAAGCTTTGTAAGGCTCTTTTTGATTATAAAGACGAGGAGGGCATTTTCGTCTTTTGTGCAAGTTCCGGTCCCACCTTTTTGGGTGAGACAAAAATTTGCTCTTTTTGCCCCTGGGTTTTAGTCCAATGCATGCCAAATGGTCCTGTTAAACGGGCCGTGGGGCCCGTTTTATCAAGAAAGAACACAACAGGTTGTGCTGTGTTTGATATGTATTGGACGGGGACCTAAGCTTATGTCAATGGGACAATAATTCCATTTTTTTTTTGTCATAACCAAAAAAGGTGGGATTGGGATCGGGATCAGGATCAGGATCTCTTGTCTGTGTAAAAGACGTAAATACCCTCATCATAAAAAATAGCCCTACAAAGCTTGTTCAGTGTAACAAAACAAACGAGGCCTTAAAAAACAAAACAAATGTTAAAACACATTTATGTGGTGTATTTTGGTTAATTAATTTATATTTATATTTAATCTTAATAAAATCATGTATTTTTTTTCAGGGGAGGGCATAATCCATCGTACATGTACCGATTAATTGCAGATTACTACTCTGCTGATGATTTGGTCTTGCAACAGAGGCCTATCTCTTCTTGACTTTATATAAATAAATAATCCTTATGAGTAAGACCCTGTTCCTTTTTTTTTTCATCATTAGATAAATGATGTTTAAATAATATTTGAAAAAAAAATGTCACATAAAAGGGGAAAATGTCATTTGTAATGCTGTGGTTGTGAACATTAGGTTTTTGGAGTGCATGGGAATTGGAAGTGCGACAGTTTTGAAGGGGCTAAGCCATTAAAGGAGAACTTATTTGTAATGTTGATTACTAGAAAAAGATGGAATGAAAACAAGGATTACATTTGTGTTAGTATGAGGTTATAAATGGCATATGCCATTCTCTTAAATCATGTAGTTTTTATTTCTTCTTCCCACTAATGTTTTGTGTATATAATGTGTTTTTGGGGTAGATAATATTTGAGAAAATGATAACAAATTGGGGAGATAGAAGGAAAAAATAAATGAAGGCGAATCTATAAATGATGACAAAGGCACAACCATATAATACGTGAGTTAGATCTTTGATTATTGGTCATCTCTATACATCTCTGACTCTTTGTTTACAAGTTGTAATACTCCTGTTTTCAGTAAAAAAAATTTACATAATTATATACTATAAAGAGTAATTATGCAAACACCCCAAAAATTATGTGAAGTAATAATGTTCAACAAATCTAAGCTCTCAAGACACAATTACAAGGGTTTAACCAAGTTCGTTATACTAAAGGACATGGACAAATGTATGGAAAAACTTGAGGAATGTTGGTTATGGAAAAATATTACAAACTTTATCTAAAAAGAAAATATGAAAGTAAGAATAACATAACAAATCAAATGGGAAAGTTACGAATACATCACAAGCAACACGTTTCCTAAGTATAACATGAGAAATCAATTCTAAAAGTCAAGACCAAACAAACCTATAAATGATTTGTATAACTAGAAACAAGTTTTTGGCGAATAAGATAAGCGAGATAGATGACAAAGGAGAGCAAGAAACATGAGATGAGAGCTTCTAAAGATATAAATTAAGCCAAATACATGAGATGTAGCTATAATATAGAAGATATGGTGGATAACCTATTGAATCATGTTCAAATCCTGACATTACTCAGCCCTTGTGGCTATAGAAGTTCGTCTGCAATTATACGTCTGCTCAAGGCTGTACCAGGTCTATTAACCTCCGGGTCTATTTCACACCCGAGTCTATTTCAACTTATATGTCAGCATAAGGCTGTGTCAGGTCAATTTCACCCCCGTGTCTATTTCACCCCCGAGTCTATTTCAACTCATATGTCAGCACAAGGCTGTACCGAGTCTATTTCACCCCACACACATAGCAAACAGGAACACAAACATACCACACATACAACATGAGCCATAAAGACTACAAGCAGATACAATCTCTAGTGAGCAAACTCACCTCAGTCTGCTGAATCGGAGAATGCCCACACTAACCAATCAAATAAAACCCTAATTAATAATTGGGTCATAACCATAATCGAGACTTTCATCAACTAATCCCGACTCCCAGGGTAAAAGACCATTTTACTCTTCCTTTAATTAGCACAAAATCCGTGGCCCAAACTTGGAAAGCCTAATAATGGCCTAATTCCTAAAGGACACTTAGAGCCCAATATTGGCCCAAATCCAAGAAGGCCCAAGGCCTACCAGTGGCCCAAAATCAAAAAGACTTGTGGCCCAACAAGGGCCCAAAACCCTAAAGTCCAATGACGGCCCAAAAGTCAAATGCCCATCCCGGTCGAGTACGCTAAGCGTACCCTTAGTACGCCCGACGTACTAGGTGGCTACACGGAGTCGGGGATCCACACGCGTATGCGCAACGTACGCTTGCATATGCCCGACGTATGTCCCCATTAAGCTATTTTGCCCATTAAGCACTTAATGCTTAAGTCCAAACGTCCATATTCCATATCCAAACCTTGGGGAACGTCTTAATCCATAAAGTCACTAACTTGGTGCCTTTGCATGCCTCAAATGGACTTAAACCTTAGATTTAGCATCCTACTTTTACCAAATGGACATATACTCATGCATGGTTGATCCTTAACCATCAAGATGCTAACTTTATGAACTAGGGATCTTAGAAACATCAAGAGGAGCAATTCATAACTTCTGGAGTGGTAAATTGCCACTAGATCTCATTCATGGGACCAAAAAGTTACCAAAACTCTACTAGATCAAGATCTAAGCATAAAATGAGCAAAGGTAAAAGCTTTATACCTTTATGAAGCTGGAAATGATGGATGGAATTTGGATCTACAAGCTCTTCCTTGACCAATGCTCATCAACCAAGCTTCTTCTTCTTAGAGTTACACCAAACACACACCAAAACACACACACACACAAATGTCAACTCTCTCTTGAAACGAGCTAGGGTTTCGAAAAGGGACTCAAACGAGGCTAAGGAGGATGGTAAAAAGAAAACCTTGGGCATAAGGTTGCTTGAATAGGACCGAAACCCTAAAATTAGGGTTTGTCCCCTGATTACATACGCCCCGCATACAATAGGTATGCCTAGTGTACGCTCCCCTTCCAAAAAATTACAATAACGCCCCTAGGGACCAAAACTGCAAACTAGTTACACACCAAGGATCAAAATGAAAAATACCTTGAATCGAGTGTTACAATTCTCCCGCACTTGAGTTAGACTTTATCCTCGAAGTCCGCTGTTGCAAATAACTCTGGGTAATGATCTCTCATCTTGTCCTCACGCTCCCACGTCCACTCTGAACCCTTTTGGTGCCACCACTGCACCTTCATGAGATCCACCACCTTGTTTCGCAGAGTCTTCATCCTCTTGTCAAGGATCGCCATTGGTCTCTCTATATAATTACGGAGATCATCCACATGAATGTCCTCCAATGAAAACACTATAGAATCATCAACCAAACATTTGCACAGCTGAGAGACATGAAAAGTGCTATGAATCTAAATGAGCTCCTCTGGCAGCTCCAAACGATATGCAGCCCTTCCCACCCGGTCTATCACCCTTAAGGACCAATAGCTTGTACCGCTTCCTAAATCGGATGACACCTTTCCAAGGTGACACCTTCAGGAGTACCATATACCTAACCTGAAACTCCAAGTCTGACCGACGTCTATCTACATAGCTCTTCTATCGGATTTGTGTTGTCTAAAGACTGCCGCGAACTTGCTGAATCAATTCTGTCATTTTGAGTACCACCTATGTACTCCCCATTACCCGCTGACCGACCTCACCCCAACATATCGGGGTCCTACACTTCTTCCCATAGAGCATCTCAAAAGGAGGTCAATCAATGCTGGCGTGGTAACTATTTTTAATATGAAAATTCCGCCAAAGGAAGATACTTATCCCAACTACCGCCAAAATCCAGTACACATGCCCGCAACATGTCCTCCAATGTCTGGATAGTCCGCACTCTCTGACCATCAGTTTGTGGGTGGAAATCCATGCTGAAGTGCCAGCGAGTACCCAACTCCTCGTGGAATCTCTTCCAGAATCTGGAAGTAAACCGAACATCCCTATCAAAGACCACAGAAACCGGCACCCCATGCTGTGCCACCACTTCCCAAATGTAGATATCGGCCAGCTTCTCCATCGAAATACTCTCCTAAATCGGAACAAGATTATGCTCTTGATCAATCAATCCACGATGACCCATATCGAATCCACTCCGTGCGCCGTACGAGGAAATTTTGTGATAAAATCCATCGTAATCTCTTCCCATTTCCATACAGGAACACCCAACAGCTCCATTTTTCCATGAGGTCGTTGATGCCCGACCTTGACTTTCTTGCAAGTCAAACACCTCTCCACATACCAGGCCACGTCCCGCTTCATACATGGCCACCAATAGTCAGGCCGAAGATCTCTATACATCTCTGTCGCTCCGAGATGAATATAAAATCTCGACTTATGCGCCTCTTCCATCAAAACCTGACGCACACCACTCTAATATGGAACCCACACCCTCCGATGAAGGGTCAATAATCTTCAACTATCATAATCGAAGGAAGCTACCTGATCCACTATGCGCTCGCTCTTCCGATTCTCTTCCTTTATAGTATCAAACTGAGCCTCTCGAATCTGCTCTAAGAGTGGGGTAATCACGGTCATCATCAAAAAAACATCCCTGATCGGGACAACAACCACCCTGCAGCTAAGAGCATCGGCCACCACGTTGGCCTTCCCCGGGTGATAAAGGATCTCACAATCATAATCCTTCACCACATCCAACCATCTACGCTGCCTCATATTCAGATTTGGCTGATCCATCAAATACCTCATACTCTTGTGATCCGTGTAGATAGTACTATGGACCCCATAAAGGTAATGTTTCCAAATCTTGAGGGCGAACACCACAACCCCCAACTCCAAATCATGCATAGGATAATTCGCCTCGTGAGGCTTCAGCTACCTCGAAGAGTAAGTGATCACATGACCCCGCTGCATCAGCACTGCACCCAACTCGTAATTGATGCCCCATAGTACACCACAAAATTCTAAACACCCTCCGGCAGGGTCAGAATTAGCGCCTCACACAATCTCCGCCCCAAAGTCTCAAAAGCTGCCTGCTGCTCAGGCGCCCAATGAAACGTGGTGGTCTTCCTTCGTCATCCGGGTCAAAGGAACCGTTATCTTGGAGAAATCCTGAATGAATCTTTGATAGTAACCCACCAATCCAAGGAAACTCTGAATCTCAGATGGAGACCTCAAAACTTACCACCTCATCACCGCCTCAACATTGGCCGGATCGACCAGAATACCGTTCTGGTTGACAAGGTGCCCCACAAATTGCACCGCGCGCGACCAGAACTCACACTTGGAGAACTTCACATACAACCTCTCCCTCCTTAAATTCTCTAATACCTCCCTCAGATGCTCCTTATGTTGCTCCTGGGTCTTGGAATAGACCAGGATTTCATCAATGAACACAATCACTGACCAATCCAATATGGCCTGCATATGCGATTCATGAGATCCATGAATACATCTGGAGCATTGGTGAGCCCGAAGAGCATCACCACGAACTCATAATGACAATTACAAGTTCGGAAGGCCGTCTTTTGTGTATCCTCCTCTATAACCCTCATATGATGATAACCCAAACTCAAATCAATCTTGGAAAAAAAAAGATGCACCCTGGAGCTGGTCAAATAAATCGTCAATCCTTAGAGTGGATACAGGTTCTTCCCTATTAGCTTATTTAGCTCCCGATATTCGATACACATCCGATGCGACCCATCCTTCTTCTTCACAAACAAGATCGATGCTCCCTATGGTGAAATACTCGGCCGAATGAATCCATAGTCTAACAACTCCTGCAGTTCTGTAGACAACTCATACATCTCTGGGGGTGCTAACCGATAAGGTGATTTGGCTATCGGAGCCGGACCTGGAACCAAGTCAATCCGAAACTCCAATTGCCTCTCCGGAG